AATTGAACAACGAACGATAATTTAAGAAGGTTTATAAATTCTGTGACTTTAATTCAGATTTAGAAATAAAATGATAAACTAAAAGTCTTGTTAGCGCAATTCATTTTGCGAATGATATATGGAATTCGAATAAATTCCTTAGCCTCTCTTAAACTAACAGAACATACTGAAATTAATAATATCTTGTAGATTTTAGTTGCTTCTCAAGCCAATCAATCGCTGGATTTCGAACAGAAAATTTTGTTTTTTTTTTGGAGAGGATGATGTAGCTGAAAAACTTCGGCTTGCCAATTATAATTAGCATTCTCTTTAAGAATATGTGTGAGTTCCACAAAACGAGATATATATAACTTCTAAAATCAATGAAAATTTATTATTATTATAGAGACGTGCAGGAGTAGCTCATTCTAAATAGTAATGGTTATACATATCTACATAGTTTCTCTCGAAAATACACTTACTAAATGTCCAAGGAAAATCATCTGATCGTAAACGATGCAAAGTTTGTAAATGAGGCATATGAGTACTGAGAAAAGACACAAGATTCTTTCCAACGTAAATCGAGTCATTAGAGACATAATGACAACTAGGAATACTGAATTCAGCACATTGAATAGAGCTTAATAAAAAATAAAAGAATATTAGAAATCTTCTAGAATTTATTGCCTTGAATAATTTGATACTTGCATTGAAATAGAATGAAACTAGGCGTCTACAAAGCTCGAGTTATTCAATCTTGGTCAGACTCATTTAGGATCTGACTGAACCCAAGCCAAACTAATGCTAAGTCTAACAAAGTTCAAACTCGACCAAGTCTAAACTGTTCAGTGTAGGTTCAGCTTGAAGCAAATCTACGATATAACGAATAACTAATATAAAGATGAAAATTATTTAAAATTTTGATATTTTTTACATAATATCGAAGACTTCACTAAAGTACTATGGTCATTTTCTTATTATTCTTTTTGTTTTTAAATTTTTGTATTTTACAATAATATTTCTTATTATCTTCCCTATTTTTATTTATCAATAAATAAGAATAACAAGACTTTATTTCATTCTTATTCTTGAAAACATATATACGATGATCAGTTTTCAACAATCCATGTGACCAAATCAATTATGAAAAGAAAACTATTTTTTGTTAAATTTCAAGTAAGATAACAAATGCAATAGATACTTAAGTTGAACTGGTGTTGAAATGAAATGAGCAAATGCTTTTGTACGTACTTTATTTAGGTTCATTGATTGTACTAACAACTTTTAAAAAAAGCTTAATTTCTTTTTGAAAGTTAATTTATTTATATATTTCAAGTAAAAAAAAATAAACTTATTCTAAAGAATATTTTCTAAAGACAAAATAAATAAATAAAAGTGATACTTTATATAACATAATTATTTGTTTGATTTTTACAAAGAGTATTAAATATATTTCATGAAAATAAAAAAAATATTTCATTACAGTTGATCTTCGCCCAATACATATGTGTTAGAATGAAGACAGAGACGACTTTTGATAAGATTCTGATAGTTTATTTTATCATAGCTTTCGAAATGCTTTTTCAATGGATAGTTATATCTTCCGTTTCAGAAATGATACATAAGATCGTTCAATATCGTCGTACGGTAATATGAATATGAATCGATTCTACTAGGATTTATCAAAGAACTCATTTAGCAACAACAATCAATTTAAGTTTCAACTTTCGAATCTCAAAAACATTCCGATTCTATTTTTATGTGCATGTCAGCTGTATGTTAAAATGGGTGGGTGTGGGTGTGGGTGTGGGTGGGTGTGGGTGGGTGTGGGTGTGGAGTGTGGGGTGGGTGTGGGTGCGTGTGGGTGGTTGTGGGCGTGGGTGTCGATGTGGGTGTTCTTCATCACAGTATATATCTACACCCATGCCCACCCCACCCCCATCCCCACACTCACACCCATACCCACACCCACACCCACACCCCACCCACACCCACCAACATCCCACACCCACACCACACACCCACACCCCACCCATAGCCACACCCACACCCTCAGGTGTGCACCTCCCAAAAATCAAGATTTTTCTGTTTTTCCCAGCAAAAAAAGCAAATTTTGGCTAGTTTTTACGTTTTTCTTAGAGATTGCTGTTGAAAATACTCCTCTGCACCTCCTCCCCCAAAGTCTGATCCTTCGCGCGGGGCCTGACGACAGATTACACAAAAGCACCCATTTTTCTAGAAAAAGCACTCGCTACAGCAAAAAAATTGGTTCCAATAACGCATTCTTGACTACAGATAATATTACGTAACATAAACTATGTAAAAGAGGAGATTTGAATTTCGTTGACCTCTGCTATGTAAAAGAAAAGGAGTTTCGGAGAAAGGTATCCAACTGCAGATCCTTTTTCAGGGTTCTGTACTTTTGACGGAACATTTTTTTTGGTTCTGTTCAAGCTGCAGAACTTAAAAATGGATCTGCAGTTGGATATCGTTCTGAAAAACTCCTTTTTTTTACAGAGTGGTTATCTCAATAAATTTTTCTGACTTTCTAATCCTATTATACAGTTTTTATCATTCTTCACCACATATTTACACTCGCAATCAGAAAAATTCGCACCCAAATGAAGTATACATGTAGAAAAAGCCGTATTACACTAGTAGAGTAATGTTGGTAACTAAGATATGCCAATATTTCTTGATTACGTTGGAAAACCAGCTAACAAGATGTCATCAAATGAAGACAAAACTTGATACGAAAACAAATATTGTAAGCAGATATGTAAAATAAGAATATGTACATGAACGGAAGCTAGTACACCCAAGAAAACACCTCAATCCACACAAAGATTGCTAGGTGACAAAAAATTTGATCTGGCACAAAAATTAGAAGAAGCTCATAAAAATGTTCAAATCTCAGTAAATTCTCCTTTTCTTCAGAAGATCTGGTAGCCGTTACCCACATCTACTTCACCTTCGCTGTCAGCCTCAGCCTCATTGCAGCAGCACCATAAAGATAAAAAATATGCTGTCAGATAGCTTTTTTTATAGAAACAATTCGCATAATTATAGAAATCTTGCGAAAGTTTTATCTTCTTAACTTACACGCTTTAAAAAAAAACGAATTAGTATGAGATGTTAAAACAAAAGGGACCGACTGTGCATCATTTGAAGGATAAACAATGCAAAATACAATTTAAAAAGCCTCTTTTATAGTTTCTACGTATTGTGACTCTATGTAACGTTTTCATTTCTTGTCGACTGCAATGGGTTTCGTAGCGTTTTTTTTTCAGCAATTAGGAAACACAATTTGAAAAAGAACATTTCGCATTGTTTCAAATACCTAATGTAGCAAACTATCTTCAATTCAAGTGAAATACATTGAACGCGTTCTCTCTCGAAGAAGTGCTGCAAAATGCATTGCATAATCTTGAAAACGCATCATTAACAATCTTGAATGCAAAACTAATTCAATATGTTTATTATCACTAACTCTGAAGTGATCATTTTAATGAAAAAGTACTTCTATGAATGGCGTTGAGTTAAATCGTAACTGTATTAATCTTAATATATTTATTTTGTTGCGATCTCTATGTTCGATTAGATTTAATTTAACTTTTCGTATTGTAGATGGCAACCTTTAGCTATATTTTACCAAAAATCGCAGTTCGCAAGATTGAACTGGGGCAGAAAATATTAGCTTAAAATCATTATTTCTTGCTTCTATGGAAAGATCCCACCGTCATCGCATAACGCCTTGTTACGATATTTGATCCATTCATTTATTACATTTTGATGCAATTAAATAAAAGGTTTAAGAAGCAATAAGTCTCAGAACGGAGAGAGAGAAAAAAGAATTTTTACGTATACTTATGAGTGTTTCAGGATTCACATTCATGCCTATATCCACGTACATATTTTATAAGCATTGTTATTTTGTAACATAGGACCAACAAGCATTAATCAAGTACCTCTTCTAAGCAAGAATTTTCTTCTTCTATTTCTTGACAGATTATTATAAGTTTTGATATACGGCTTTATTTTATTTTTTAATTAAACATTAAGGATTTCTAGATTAAATGTCTTTTTCTGCGGACACCATAGAAAAGTTATGTTCTTGTTTCAATGTCATAAATATTTTGTTCTTTAGTTTGGAATAATTTTCATTTTCTTGAGTTTATCGAAGCATTCGATGAAACAATCTGCTGAATCGATCTTTGTTGTCCAACCAAATTTACGCGCTTTACTGAGATCAGCTGCAACATCGAATGGTATATTGACGATGGCGTCTAGAATATAACATGAATATACAAATTAGTTTTATGTATTAGAGCTCTGGAAAAATAAAATATTCATCATATAACTAGAATTTTTCATAGAACCTTTTAAAAATCTTATCATCTCAATCTATCATATTCTAGAGAATGTTTTGAAAGATTAAATTATGATTATCAGTAACATTAACAGATCCCTACTGAACTTTAAAGAATATAGATAACAGCTAGAAACATGATACATATAAACGTGATGAAATATATGATAAATATTTCTATTTACAAATTTTAAAGATTTCTAGAAAAAAGATGGAACCGATATTTAATAAATATAAATTTTTAGAGATTCATTCTTTTATTTGATATTCAAAATATTTTGCGACTTTATATATCTAAGTTTTTATACTTACCCATAAACGTCCAGGTTGAATACTCAAAAGCTGATTCGTCAATATTATTGTGTTTGGCAATTTGATGCCATAATTCTTTCTGCTTAGGCATATATTCAGATATAATCAATTGTGGTGCGTTTTTGTCTGCTGGAAATTTTTGTTCATGATGAGCAAAACCAAAATATCTAAAATGTTACGTATGAAAAGAAATAAAAATGAATTAAATTAATATGCCAACAAGTTTACTTCTCGATTTTTGGCCATATATTTCGAAATCGAAATTCGTCACCGTTATGTATATTAAATGCTTGATTGAGTGTTTTTTGATTAGTTGATGACCATAGTTGAAAACGAGCATTTATCCACGATGATGAATGATCGACAATTACATTCCAACCAGTTTCACTTCCAGGATAAATAAGTGGTTCACCTTTTTCCTTTTGAATAACAGCATAGATAGCCAGACTCAGAACGAAATTCATGAAGTTTCCTATATAAAAATCATATTCAAGAAATAAACTATTTATAAAAGAATCAAAACTTACCTTTGGAAACACCGATAATGACATTCGGTCGAGTAATAACATAATTCCAATGATTTTGTTGAGCATATTCTTTGATAAGATCTTCTTGTGTGTAATAGAAATTCACGCCTTCATGACGAGGTGCATCTTCAGTGAACGGAAGAGGAGCTACATGTTTACCTCCTTTGTGTACACCGTAATACTATATAATAAAAGAAGTTTAGCTAAATATTCAAAATTAAAAATCACGTATAATTACTTTGTAGCCAGTTTGTAACATAACACATTGAACATTTTTACCTGCCACCTTTTTTGTTGCATCGAGTGCTTTTTGTAGAAGAGCTTTATTAACTTGATCCAATTCATTGTCATCCGCTTTCTCAATATATGTATAATGGAACATGTGAGTAATCTTTTGCCCATCTGCTGCACTCAATTCGGATGCAATTTCATCAATACTTGCTTTCATAATATCGATTGAAATAAAATGAATACGATCATCTTTAATATCAGATAATATAGGTCGTCGAGAAATACTAATAATTTTGCTCCATTCATTGCGAGGTTGTTGTGTGATTATTTCAATCATTGCCATACCAGATATTCCGTTGGCACCCCATATGCAAGCAACTTTTCCCGGATTACTCGATGAAGCCATTGTCAAGTGTAGCTTACTTATAGTACTTTACACTTATGCTATATATGATAGCTAAATACAAAGAACACTATTTAAAGTATCAAAATATGCATAGATAATGTATATTATGATATTATTTTTCTATTTCACCGAATTAGTAAATAGGAAAATTTTCATTCAAACGTTATAATTATAAATTGTTAAACAGTGATCAACAGGATTGAAGAAATTCATTGAAAACTTATGATTTTCACGATGAATTATCGTTAAAACAAGTATTCAACGAATTTATTCGAGAATCAACCAAACGTTTTCGTAATTTGTTGTTTTACTACTTAGCCATTTACTTTCTGACATAGCTAGTTGTTTTCCATGTGAGCACTCATCTCTATTCTATATCATCATTTCCTCAATGTTCTTTTGATACTAAAATATTTATCTCTGTCTTATCGAAATCATTGCAAGTTTTCAATCAAACCAAGCTGTATTATCTTCTTAGTCAACTAGCTGCCTGACTATCGTTTGTACAGTGATAGACGAAAATCATTTTCGATAAATACTTGCTACATATATCTTTCGAAATTTCAAAATATTTAATTTGTCAACAAGCAAACAATAAAGATGTATTTGCTTCATTTACAATGTAGAATAGATTGACTTAATAGACAAAACCTAATTCTTATAATGAGATGATAAAGAAGACGCTGGAAAATCAGAACTGAATTGTTACACTTTGCATCTGGTCCTTCATCAATGAACCTGCCTCATGAAACAAATAAACAAAACAAGACATGCTAAAAGATACCGTGTGAAGACCTTTACAATCTAAAATGGAGTGCTTAGTTCAACTGTGCAGCTATGCCTTTCTAAAAAAAGAAAAGAAGTATTCTATGACTGATTTTCGAAACTACGAAAATAGTTACAAAAAATTTTATTCTTGTTTGTGAAATTTAAGATAAATAACTGAAATATTCATTATCTCATAGTTAATAAGTTATTTACATTGTGCTCTATGATATAGATATAATGTTCTTAATAAAATCTATTCTGTGACTAAAATATGAAATGAACAGTGCAAACATTCATTATTAGTCACTCAATATTCTAATCAAAATGAAATTTAGGAAATAATAGTTTAAAAGGAACATGAACACCTACGTAGAAGAATAGCTCTGTGCACAATCGAATAAAGACGAGAGCTTTTAATGCAGACACACTCAAACTCATTTGGTTGTTGATGAGGAGAAAATAGTAAACAATATTCATGTATTTAAGAAAATGTTACTTTGTTTTCTTCGTAAAGATATGTTCAGAACTCTACAGATGGTGCAATACCTGCGGATTCTCTGAAAAATTAAAATTAAAAAGCCTCTCATTTCTCACAAAACAAAAAAAAGTAATCAATAAAAACACTCATCTTTACTTTTTGTGTTCAAGCAGAGAAATATCGACTATTTATATTGTTTCTATCACAAGAAAAAGTAATAAGGAGAAAGAGGAACTGAAACGAAACAAATAAATTGAAAGAAAGGTCAATACTTCTATTCTTTGCAAGAAAGTGAAAAAGAGCTCGAAAAATACTCATCATTACTATTTGTTGTCGAGAAGAGAGAGTTAGACTACTAATATCATTCTTACAAGAAGAAAAGGTGATGAGGTTGAAAAAAACCGAAGGAAAAGAAAATATAAGAAAAGAAAAATGAAAGAACATAAAAAACAAGTGAAGAAAAGAAGAGGTGCGTTGACAATCAAAAATAGCTTTTTGGGAAGTAATATTAATAATAAAATATCATCGCTACGTCCATATGTACGAAAAGAAGAAGAGCTTGTTATGTAGACGCGTCAAAAATTAGTTGTTTTCCAGTTACAAAAAAAATCGCCAGTCTACATTACTATATGTAAAAATAAGCTAGAAGAGATTTTATTTACATCAAAGAAATCAAGTAACAAAGTATTCCGTATTAACTACTGAAATGTTCTACCAATATTAACTGACTGAGCAACCATTCATTTCAACATTTAAAGAAAACATTTCTATCACTTTATGCTTCGTGGCTTAATTTGATGGAATAAGTGAAATCTTTTGTATTAGAAGCTGAAAAATATCAGGATTTTTCCAAAGGAAAAGAAATACAACGGAACATTGGAAGCAAAAAAAATGGAGGAATAAGAGAGAAGCTTTTTATAGAAGATAATAAAACAGGGAGGCATTCTTAGAAGGCTCAACTCATCATAATATTTGTTGAAGGAAGAAAAGATTATTTATGCTAGAAAGAACCAAAATATTTTATGACGCATCAGAACCGATGAAAAAAATTATGAAAAGGAAACGAAAGTGATAGTTTTGAACTGTTGACAGAGAAGGAAGAAAAAACGGGAAAATAGTGTTGTCGTTGGGTGTAAAGTTGAAATCGAAGAATTTTGCCTGATAATATTAAAAAAAACCAGATTTTTTTAAATGATTGTTTCTTATAACAAAAAAGAGAGCCTGACAAGAGACTTATTCACATGCCTTTTATATAGAAAGCTCTTTAAAAAGTAAGGGAGAAGAGCAGTTTAAAATCAACCAGCAAGAAGAATAAGTAAGAAAAAAGTTTTAATCATTTCATTGGACTATATGAATAGCAATGATACATCTTTATTTGACATGATCAAAGAAAACAAATACTATTAGGGGACTCCTTTCACCAAGAAAAATACACCAAATATTCAAAATTGCATCTGAAGCATAATAGTATTTAAGAGACTTTCCATGTAAAGATGAGAGAGTTTTCGTATAGCAAAAAATGTCGGAGTAATCGATCCCTACTGACTAGATTTATCAAACGTACACGACTTACTAACTCAAGTACTAGAGAATATTTATAGATAATTATACTTGTCATATACTCCGACGACTATTAATATGAGTCGTTTCTTTAGGATTCCCTCACTGGCGATAGCATGAATAATCAAGGTAGTACTCATTCATGTTTTTGGAAAAAAACATACCAAAGCATCAATGCACTAACATGTACAAAAATAAAAAACGTTAAATCAAACAGAAAAACGATGATATTCAATAGAAATTCGACAAATAATATCTTGAAAACTCATTTTTATTATTTTTGATTTTTAAATGACGACTTATTTCTAACCCTTTTATTGATGACTATATTGAATCAACAGAATAATGAGTTGCCATTATTAGCGATGAATACAAATTTTTAGACTAATAAATAACGTTTTCGATATAAAAAAGCAACTAATGGACCAAAACATCAATAGCATGCTTTCAGATACATTATTTCTGTTTCAATAATTTTCATATACAAATCTTATACGAATCTTAAACAATTTTTTTCAATTTTTCTTTCAATATATCACTGAAAAAAGTGTATTTATAAGTTTAATATATTCAATTTTTCAAGATCTTAAAATCGGATTCTTATGCTTTCAACAAGATAACATTACTTGTAACCTTATATTAAAAGATTGCTGTATAAATAACTGTTTGCCAAGCGAGATCAAATATTTATTCAGAAAGAATCAAGTATGTTGCAGGATGACTATGCCTAATCTTGAAATAGGTTGACATTAAAAACATCCCGTGATATATATTTACTTGAATATATTTTGTATTTTCAGCCGTCAACACCTTTGGACAAATGAGAAATAACCTTCAATAGAGGGCATGGTTAGACAATTACAATAGTGATACGTAGTCATTTCTCATTCTGTAAATATGAATATGTTTTATGTAGCAGAAAAAAATCTAATCATATTTTGAATAAACAATAGTTAAATATGTATTAATAGAAATCTTTTTTTTTTGTAAATATTGAATAAATTATTGTGAATATTATTTATACAAACTTTTAATCCTTCAGAAAAATCTTTATCATCTATATTACGATCTTGTAATAAATATCTAAAACGTTGTAAAATTGCAATCATTGTTTGTCCTTTTAACCATAATTTCATAATTATTTCACGTTCTTGTCCTTCATGTAAATGATAATCACGTTCAATTGCATTCATAACATCTTGATAAGAAAGAAGATTCTATAACAATAATATTTAAAAGTACATAATTCATAACAAGAAAAAAAATTCTATTATTTTCAAAAGACTTTATACTTTTAAATTAATAGATGCAGCAACCGCAACAAATTGACTTGTTTCTAATGAACGATTTAATCGTGAATCTTGATTCGATTGAGATAAAATTGGATTTTGTTGAATAATATTTTCCATTGTATTTGTATTTTCTTTTAAAATTTATTCTTAATTCTTCATGATATTCATTTATAATCTATTATATAAGAAGAAGAATAATATAATAATTTTCTATTTCTTAATAAATAAATTTTTATACTTCTTGTGATGATGAATGTTGATTGGTAATAAGTTTTTCTTCGATCCAGTTATTCTATCTGTT